ACCAACTCTTACTCATGAGAATATGAGGGCAAGATTAGAATTTTGTTTATCTAAAATTAGCCGGTCATTATCAAGTAATATTCCCACATTTCATGATATGTTTAATGTTATCCACATTGATGAAAAATGGTTTTACATGTCAAAACCATCAAGACGTTACTACCTTGTTCTCGGCAAGGATGAACCATTAAGAACGTGTCAAAGCAAAAAATATATCACAATGGTTATGTTTCTAGCGGCTGTGGTGAGGCCAAGATTTGATGTATCCGGTAATGAAGTTTTTTTGGGAAAAATTGGTATCTACCCATTTACAAAATTAGAACCCGCTAAACGTTCAAGTAAAATCCGTGTAGCGGGAACGTTGGAGACAAAACCTATTTTATCCGTGACTAAAGAAGTAACAAGGTCATGGTTGATAGAAAAGGTTTTTCCGGATATTAGAGCTAAATGGCCTCGAAGTCATGTCGGTCCCATATTTATCCAACAAGACAATGCCAAGCCCCATATTGATGTCAATGATAACAAGTTTCTTGAAGCGGCATCTCAAGATGGGTTTGATATCCGACTTAATTTTCAGCCCTCTAATAGTTCGGGTTTAAATGTTTTAGACCTTGGATTCTTTCGAGCAATCCAATCACTTCAAGAGCAAGAGGCTTTAGGTACAATTGATGAATTGGTTCATGGGGTTTAAACGTCTTTTGAAAAAATGCAGTCTCAACAACTTAACAATGTATTTTTAACTCTACAAAATTATATGAGGGAAATCATAAAGGTTCAAGGCAGCAACAACTATCAAATACCGTATATTGGTAAAAATAGGTTGGAACGAGAAGGAAACTTACCACTTCAAATTGGATGTGATGAAAATTTGATAAATGAGGCTTTATTGCATTTGGCTCCCTAGTTATTTTTTAAACAACTATTGTGATCAAAATAGTGAGAAAAAAACATTTTTGTATTTGTATTTTTGATAGTGTAATGTATTTTGTGTTAATTCTTTTTTATTTTATGTCATGAAATTAGTTTGATATTGTGGACGTGGAAGTAATTTTCAAGACAAAAAAATGGATATGCTATAACACAGAGGAAAAAAAAAAGTAACATTGGATATGCCTAAGTGATATTTTTGTTTTATATCATTATTCTTTATTTTTATTGTGATTGTATGAAAACCTACAAAAAAACAAAAAACAAAAAAAATAAAAAAATAAAAAGAGAAAACCAATTGTACAAGGAAAAAAAACCAAAAAGCATTTTGATTAGTTAAAGGTTCATTAATTAGAATACATTGGTAAAAAAACAAAAAGAAAAAAAATGGCTTTTACTACATTAATTTTCATAGAAAAAGTAATTATGAAAAGTAACTTTTGAGGGTATTTTGATAAAAGTGATACTTAATTTTAGAAATAGATAATTATTTTAGGACAAATAAAAATAGAAAGATTGACTATTATATCGGGACGGAGGGTAGTATTAATTTTTATTTTCCTACCTTTCAAAACTGAAAACTTCAAATTAATACAAGTTGTTTAACGAATACAAATAATATTATATTTTATGGTTCTTTATTTATACATTATTTTTTGTTTTACTCATTTTGATATAAAAATAGTTAAATTATATATATATATATATATATATATATATATATATATATATATATATATATATATATATATATATATATATATATATATATATATATAATAAACCATAATCATTATATCTTGAATTTTAAGTGGTATAAGTTACAAAGCTTCTTAAACAAATCAATTATGTATAAATAAATCATTAATACTTGCCAAAAATGTGAATACCTGAATAATGAATGGTATTAATAAATTCAAATTGTAGAAAAATGAAGTAATGTGTATAGATTAATTATATTTCTTAAATTAGACATCGTTATTCATTAATCACATCAATAATATAAGTAGACAATATAAATATAATTCTTAAAAAATAAATGTCTTATTTAAAAGTGGTCATCTTTTTATTACTTAATAACTACTAATAAAATTTAATAAGTATTTCCCACAAAAAACCATTCACGAAGAGCTACTTATCGTCGCTGCTTTGTGCGGGCACACATCTAATATTTCACAACTTGAAATCATGCTCAACTCCAAAAATGATTCCAAAATGGGCTAAAAAGGCACTAAACTTTCATAGGAGGAGATCTAAGAAATAATAGATCAAGGTAAAGATTTTTTCTACCTTTAAATGGTTGCTACCACGACCCATAATTGGGACTTAGGTAATTAATGGGAATTTGGGCTTTTGGATTGTTGGATTAGGCATTGGCTTTGGGCCAACTTATGAAAAAAGTAAAAAGGTCTTTTACCCTAGTTTGGACACTTTATGTGGGTCGGATCCGATTATTGATGGATGTTTATCTTGTGATTGATATCGTGAGGATTCTTGCAGGCTAGCGGTCAGTGATTCTTTCTGTGAGATTCGACAGTGCGATGTGAATTTTCATCACTGTACTTTTGGGGTCGAAGGCACCAAGGTTGGCACATTAGATTGTTATCTTGGTTTATCGCATGTTGATATGTTGTAGCGATCTGTTAGATCTATATCCTGGTATGTAGGATGGTGTTATGATTTAGTGATTTGTTAGATATGTATCTTGGTATATAGGATGGTGCTATGTTTAGTGATCTGTTAGATCTGCATGATTATCTGTTGACTGGCTATATGTTTAGCTGTGTATATATCGTCGTGGTGTGGGTGGGTTGAGTCTGTACTGCTTTGTGCTGTCAGTCAACCAACCCGGTAATGTTTATATCGATATGTTGTTATGGTTTACTGGGCTTATATGTGTTGTGATATGGTATATGTTGATATGTGATGGTGTGTTGGGTTGAGGTAGTCCTGTTGTGTGCTGAAGGACAAGAGATCCAGGGCGACCCCGATAGACTATAGGCTAGAGGGGAAGTTATGTGGTCGCCTGGTGGCACAGCTAGTGACAGTGGCAGTTGTTGTGGTGGGGATGGTGGCGGAGAAGAAAGGAACGGACGTCACTATATAATTAATCATTTGTGATTATAACTGATCCTCTGTGCCGTTACACCGAAGGGTTAGAACTGTATATTTGAAATATGTGGCTGAGGTTGAATCTCAAAATCTATATTTTATTTTGAATCTCAACGGAACCTCTTTCTTTCTCTCTCTCTCTCTCTCTCTCTCTCTATATATATATATATATATATATATATATATATATATATATATATATATATAAAAGAGAGGTTCATTTGAAATCATACCGATTTTGTGTGATATGAGGATGTGATCCTAACCACTCATTTTGATATAAGAAAATTAAAAAACAAACATTCCTAGGGTAATCATTCATTTTTAAAAGCAAACAAGATACATCGTCATGTTTTCACATTTTTAGGCAATCAAGGTTATCGGTTAAATCAAGCATCAAACCAGAAATCAACTTTTTAACATGATAATTTGGTAAAATCTCATGAGTACTTTAACCAAAAAAAATTAAATATTTTAATTTTTTTATTTGCGATGTTTTGTAATTGAGTTTTTTTTAATATGTTTAATATCATATTAATGTAATTTTTTGAATAGCAACAATAAAAAAACACAATAAATTAAGTTGCAAGGGATGATATTGTAATTATTGTAAATAAAAAGTATAAAATGAAAAATAAAAAACAAGTCTATGTAAAGTAGACGCATGGATTTGTGGTTTGACTGTGATCAGAATAGGCTGTAACTTGATTTCAGGTGTGCGAATAAAATTCCCGATTTGGGATTACGTAGTAAAAGTGAAAGTAAAATAGAAAAGGTGTCAAAGATTTTTTTTTTTTTTTTTTTTTTTTTTTTTTTTTTTTTTTTAACCGGTAAATATATATTATATAAAAACCCTAATCTTGCTAAAATATATATTATATAAAAACCCCAATCCTAGCAAGATGCTAGAGGAAGGAGAAAGAAAACAAAAGATAGAGTTCAATTACTACCAGTTTAACGGGGATCTAATCCAATATCACCCCAATTAATATTGCACCTGTCATATCTATGTTTTACTCACAGAAATGTTATAGACTTAATCGAATCGACAACCTTAATCGGATCAGCAATACCGTCATTGAAGATTCTATCATTCCTGGCACGCCAAATAGCCCATAGAGCACCATAAAGGATCGAGAACAGAACCTTCTTCTTGCGATTGGAACCCAACTTCAGTCTCACACCCTCATCAATAATTTCTCTAACTGAGTCGGCGTTTATCTTCCCAATGCCGCACCACATCTCCAGAAGTGAATTTTGTTTAGTGTTGTTTGACATTTCCTTCACTGGCATCATTATTGGTGCGTCTTATTAATTTCATATTTACCTTCTAAATATAACTTAATTTACTGTTAAATGATTTTAGGTGCTTAATAAAATTTCAATATCATTTTTTTTAACAACAAAAGTTTATTATATAAAAAAGGAGATTACAAGGTGAAGTAGAATGGGTTATTAGCCCATAAAATATATACCTTTCATTTATATAAACATGGGTAAATATCTTATTTTATTTCAAAAGTTTTATAGCCTAAAATGTTAGATTCAAAGATCAAGAAAGAATCAAGAACCAAAAGAAGAATATAAGAGAGAGAGAGAGACATTCATGATTTTCTCTGTATTCATTACTAATAAAAAAAAAAAGAACTAGACAATACTTATGTACAGACACGACCAGAGCAACTGATTAATTAAACAGAAATTACTAAACTACCCTTCTAACAAACTGCTAACAGAACCTCAACTAATTCTAACTGAAATGATATGATTAACACCACCCCCCCCCCCGGTCAAGCTGGTGAGCATTTATCTAAACCAAGCTTGGACAATGTTATTGAATGTTGAGAACCATGAAGTTGTTTAGTAAGAATATCTGTTTTCTGATCACCAGTCACAATGTAAGACAATCGAATTCAGCCTTCTAGAACATTTTCTCTCACAAAGTGACAATCGATTTCGATATGTTTCGTGCATTCGTGAAAAACAGGATTGGAAGCTATGTAAATAGTAACCATATTGTCACAATGGAGGGGTATCAGAGTGATTTCTTGGACATCTAATTCACCAAACAATCGACTTAACCATGAAAGTTCATATGTCACCCTTCTCATTGAACGATATCCAGCCTCAACTGAAGACAAGGAAATTGTTACTTGTTTTTTAGATTTCCAAGAAACAGGGGTTCCTCCAAACATAATGTAATAGCCATTGACTGATCTTCAAGTGATAGGGCAGGCTGCCTAATCTGAATCACAAAAAGCTTCTAGCTTGAAATCATCCTTATCATTGAAGTATAATGCCTGAGAAAGTGTCCATTTAATGTATTTAAGGACATGTATAGCATCTGTGTAATGAGATTTAGAAGGCGTCTGATTGAACTGACTTAAGTATTGCACAGGAAAAGCAAGATTAGGCCTGGTGTGTAGCAAGAAATTTAGTTTCATAGTTAGTTGTCTATATAATTTCAAAACTTGTATTGAAATTGGTGCTTCCAGATTATGTATTTCTGGAATACAGTCTAACTTGTGCTGTTTACTTGGTATGACTGACTATATATCGAAATTATGAAAAGTTCATAGCTTAAGATTTCATAAATTGTAAAACACTTTTACTCTTGATCCTCAGCTACTGTTTTTCATCCATACGCGTTGGGCCGTGGACATATCTTTTGCATGATGTGTGCTTGTTCAGCGGGATCTGTTTTGATGTTTGAAGGGGTGAAATCTGCAAGCCTAAATATGAAGTATTTGGTAATGCAGGACGCATAACTGAACTAGATTTACTTCTAAAATGAAGATAAACAAGCAGCGTGTTTTACTGAAATAAATTCTTGACATGTTTTCATTTTAAACAAATCTTACTGAGCATTAATGTGGAATTTGCAGGTTTAGAAATGAATGGGAGGAAAGACTTACTGAGCATTGATGTGGCCGAGGGTAATTATGTCAATGCAATAGATGGTTTGAATAACTCCTTTTCATATTAGTCCATGTACTCCTTTTCATATATAGTATATTCTTAAAATATGCAGGCAGAGGAAGGAACATCAAACTTTCAGGTACAACAATTTGCCTACTCTGCCCCTCATTAAGCCACAGATGAAAAAGACCAAATTACCCTTAACAGTAACAAACCTGCATAAAATGGATGACTACAACCATGAGTATAACAACAAAGGAAGGGAATTGTCCATCATCTCCGATGACCTAACTGTATGTTTGATTTTCCCTGTTTTCTCTTAATGTTATGTCTGATTATCGATTATCGTTAAAATGTATCTCGATTATCAGGTTTTGTTGTTAACCTAGAGCTACAATGTTTAAATCTCGCAGAATTTATCAAGTACTGTTGAAGAGAAGGCAAAATGGATTTTTAACAAGAAGATCAAGGAATGGTTACACCAAATTCTTCAGAAACTGCTTATGGACCCTCTCGAGTTGAACTTTATCGGTATAAAAAATATGATTTCTTGTTAGCACAAATCAGAGGGCATAAATTTAGTTCAGTTAGCTATGAGTCTAGTTAGCCCAGAAAAATTAGCCCAGCAACGTTATGAAGTCTGGTTTATAAACAACTCAAAGACTCAAGCGACTGCCAATCGCGTCTAGAAAAATGAAACATCAATCGACGCCTAGACCACGCATGTCGATTAGAGAACTCAACACCTAGAAATATACACATCGATTTGGAATGCCATTATTGCCTTTGTCGATTTCTTATATAAGAAGTAAGAACCGATTTCTCTCTAAACCTAATATTCTGTTTTCAAAATTATCGGTTATGAGTAGATTACATAACTCTTACATCAGAAGTAACAATAGGTTACTTTTCTGGTTATTTTTGATTCTTTGTCTATTGATTAATTTTATATATTAGCGATTGGTGTTTTATGTTTCTGATTTCATATGAAAATTAATGTTTGTTAAGTTAACTTTTAACATTGGTTAACACTAACTTGCCTTCCTTTTCCTATGTATACGATATCATTCTTTTCTTTTTATATAAGTTCTCGATCACCAGTTTCATATTTCAATTATTTGTTGCCAACTTTATCCGTTGTAGGTGCTGGGGTAAAAATCTCTATTGCCTCTTTTTACAAATCTATTTTGTTTTGTGATTTACTAGTTTAATAAAATTAGAAAATAACTCAATGAAGTAATAAGGAATTGCGTTGATTTTCATTACTATATTTTATGATTTGTTTTCATGTAAACTCTAATTGTATGTTAATGATTTATTATTAAATTATGAAATCTCATATTCATATAAATTGTAATTGTGACTAGTTTTGATATATTTATAGTCTAAAAGTTCATATTATTATAGTTTGTTTTAACAATTTTGAGACATTTTCATGCTCACCTTTGTTTTATGATTTAGGAGGGATGACTAACTACATACTACTTTTGTGAACTAACCAATAAGAACACAATGTATTTTATGACTTTATATCTAATATAACATTACTTTTAGAATTTTCATTAATTTATTACATTCCTTATACAATAACAGTATAAATTGTACTTATTTAGGGGGTGTTTGGTTTGGCTTTTCAAAGCCAAAAGTCCTTTTTGGAAAAGAAAAAAAAGCAAAAGATGTTTGGAAAAATAGTTTTAAAAGCTACTTTTGAAGTTTTTACATAAAGAAAATGAACTTTTTGGAAAAGTCAGGAAATCCTGATTTTTTGTAACTTTTCCAAAAAGGACTTTTGAGGTTTGAAAAGCTAAGCCAAACACCCCCTTAGTCTTCAAAACTTTTTGGCTGTCTCAAATTGTCCATGTTTAAAACTTCAATTTTTACTATACTTTCTATAGTTGTCATAAGGATTTAAGTTTCTAATTACTTAGCGTTCATATGTATTACAGATCTAACTGTTACTTGTTTAGGTGTATTTTAGGATTTGAAGATTTAACTCAACAACAACAGGTTGATTCAAAGCTCCATGCAAACTAACAACACATTGATTTTTGTGGGATTTTACACAACATAAATTCTTCATAGGGTTATATGTACATTTTGGAGAGAAGATGCCAATTACAAAAGAGTGCCAAAATGTTTAGTTCAAAATTTTAATAATAGTACACGTAAGACTTGATGATTTTTCAAGCTATAAAAACAAGAGTGTAACAATCTATGATGTAAAATTATCATTTAATCTATGATTAGTAGATTACTGGTTCATTGTAATTTGATGTCATAAAAAAGGGCATGATTATATTGTATCGCCCAAGGCATGAAAAACCTATGGATCGGCCCTGCTGATAGGTATAATACACTGATAGTGATTTTACGATTATAACCTTGACTTGTTAAATAACATGGTTGTTTAAATGTTTTTGCAGTGTGATCCCTGTTTTCAAGTTGGCTGCTGAAGAGTTGTCAAACAATTCCGGCCTAACACCATAGAGCTTCTTGCAAAGGCACTTGGCAAGAGCATTGTGAGTCTTTATATTTTTTGTATTTTAAAATTTGATTTTATATTTTTTCCTTATAGTATTATGGTTTATTTTTTACAGCGGTATAATGAAATCAAGCACATGTCACTCTTATCATCTATGAAAAATCATGTCACGTTGCATCTTGAGCTGGAAGACCTGTTTACACACCTTCGTAAGATTTATATATATTTGATAAATAATAACTCAAGGTTTTCAAAATTGTATATGATTAGAAATAATGAAATGTTGGGAGTTAATTATATTTTAACCAGTCACAGTCCTAAGCCAAACTTTTATCGTCCAGCCTCTAATAATCAATTATGGGCTGTATCAGTCTATGATAAAAAAAAAATTAGTAACCATCATGCTTCTGTTATCTCAAAGTCAAAAACACTATTTTTGTCATTACCCTTCATCAAAAATTGAAATTTTAATTGTTGACTAGTATTCGGTGGCTGATGTGTACAAGCAACTCTCTTACTTCTATTATCTTCTGGATGCTGATCGCTACATTGACAAGGTTATTTTTGTCATTAGTTAAAAAGTTGAGATATTTATATGATTTGTTTTATAATTAGTTAACATGCCTGGTAAGACTACTAGACATGATTTTTGGTACAAGTCAAAGAGGAGTTAGTGAATTCACCTAGAAAAGCTTGAATACTAAAGATGAAAAGGAGTCGGTTTGAAGTCAAAGTCTAAGTTTAGCTCTTTCCTTTTCATTATTCTCTTGTTTTCCCTGGATGGCATATTATCTTTACTTGTTTTCCCTGGACAACATTCTACTTGAGCAGGTGAGTAATCAAGATTAAGGGAGACTTCTCTTTCAAAAAAAAAGATTAAGGGAGACTTGTAATCATGTTTGGCATTCCCTTCCAGTAAGAAACAGAGTTGTATGAATATTTTTATTTTCATAAGAATGTATAACCCATGTTAGCAATGTATTATTTTTGTTTAACATTTGAATGATTCTTTGTATGACATTATAATTTGTGCAATTTATTTTATTTTTTGAGTATGAAATTTTATTTTATATTATGCAATGGATTGTATTTTTTGTATATGGTATTTTATTTCTATTATGAGAAATTAAATGCAAATTTAATTTAAAAATTAATAAATATATAAATTTATTTTTTTTAAACATATAAATTTATGATACGCAAAAATGTGTGTCATCTTCATTTATGACATGGCTTTTCTTGACAAGGGCTTTCTTGATACGCATTGTGTGTCATTAACACGCGCATCGTAAGGTTACGACACGCGAATGCGTGTCGTCTTCCTTTATGACAGGGCCTTCCTTGATACGCATTGCGTGTCGTAAACGCGCGTCATAATTGCGCGTCGTAAATGAGCGTCGTAAATGCGCGTCGTCTATCTTTATGACAAGGCCTTCCTTGACGCGCATTTACGCGTCGTATGAGCCTTTTACGACGCGCAATGAGCATCGTAAAAGGCTGTTTTTCTTGTACTGAATCATAACATGAAGGTAAGGATTGCAAAATGATATCTATTGCTAACTCCTGAGAAAGTCAACATTCAGTTTCTTCAAGCGATCCACAAACCTTTGCATTTTCTGTAAGTGGGCCTTCAGGGACTCATTTTCCTTCATTTGGGTGGTTATCAGGGAGGAGATTATTTCATACCTCTCTTGACGAGAACTTTGATGGTATCGCTCCATCAAGTCCAAGAGCATCTCAAAATGGTAATAGTCCTCATAGGACTTTTGGAGATCAGATGTCATTATGGCAGTCATGATACATGCTACTTTGGTAGCATCCCTTTCATGTGCTTGAAATGCAGCAATCTCCTATGGGGTAGCAGTTGACTCATCAATCTCCTTCAGCTCCCTATCAAGGACATATTCTTTGTCCTCATAGCGAGTGACCATCCTGATGTTTCTGATCCAATACATATAATTGGATCCATCAAAGATGACCCTCCCACAAAGGTTAATAAGAGAGAAGGAGCCAGTAGGGTTTGAGCCAGAAGCATTGTTTTTGGAAGACATCTGAAATGAAGGAATAAGTTTAGATTAGATTTTAGGATAGTCCTTAATAAAGCACTCAAATGCTATATTAAGGCTAGGACCCAACACAATATTTTATAACTTAGAAGAGGGAAGTCGTAATCCAAGCTATAAAATATTTGAAGGTAGGTGAATGGCGATTCACCAATTTCCACCATAAAACGGAATAAATTTTATTAGGTTTTAATTGGTTTAGAAATTCCTAGGTTCTTTGAGATTCATTGAACTTTTCAATGGCATGTTTCAATCTCGAGTGTGCCCTTCAAGTTTTGTGACTGGGATGCCGAGGATCACAAAACAAGGTGTGAAGTAACCATGCAAATTATTTAGTACACTTAATGTATTACCCCTCAATCGAAGTGTCGGTTAACCACACACGCTCCAACGATACTATGATAAACATTAAGACACCCTTTGCCTACCTTGATAAGTCCAAGTTAGTGTTCCAGTTAACCACACACGCTCCACTAACGACTTAATCAAAGTGTAAAGTGTAATTTCATGGATTAGCACCTTATTCACATTTTCCTAAAGTAACTAAGATTGGGAATTAATAAAAGTTTAGTTACTTTAGTATATTCATAATACTTATTATGAGAATTATAGTCATTGTTCTACCTTTTCGGCTAATGACCCTCCACTAATGAAGGAAGCGGTGGGTGAGAATAGACACCCATTAAGTTGCCATTTTATAGGCAATAACCTTATTCCCCCCTTATAGACCAGCTTCGTGAATGAGGCCTACTAATGGTAAAACGACTTTTATCTTATACATATATAATTATTATTCACTTATAATATTATAAAGTATAAGGCTTGAATTTTAATATTTAAAATTTTAAGGGTTGGAATTAAAGTTTTAATTATGAGTTTACTTGTTTCAAAACTTGAGGGCAAGTTTTGTAAACTCTCAAAACTTTTCATTTCTTATAACTTATGAGTTTATTAGAGTATTAAAATGAAGACTCTTCATTTTTCATAACTCTTGTGTTCTTTTAATGGTTTT